AGGCAGAGCGAGGTGCAGCAGGGTGTTCCAGCCATCCCATGGGTGCTGACAGCCTCTCCTGCCACCGCTGGGCCATGGGGCATCTCACCATGGGATGCTTAAAAGGTGAATCCCATCCATCCTGGTCCCTTTGCTCCGCTCCTGCGGTGTGGCTGTGGGATGACCCCCTGACACACACACATGTCCCGTGGAGATACAAAGTATGTCTCTCAAAGCTCATTTCCTCAGCTGGTTTGGATGCTTTCAGTAGAAAAATTATAATTTTATGTAAATAAGCTGACAGCTGACTGCAAACTGAACTAAGCCCAGAGATGGAGCTGTTTTGGACACTTCACCTCCCTTTACTGGAGGATGAACGCTATTTTAGGAGACACCAAATGCAAGGAAGGATGGGGACCATCAGGACACAGATCACTTTTACCTGTGCCACGGTCTCAGGTGAGAGTGCAGGCACAGCTGTCCCCTTTGCTGGGACAAGAACCTTCCCAAAGCTGTGCCCGCATGTCTCCCAGCCCCATGAGCAGGGAGAGGGACCCAGGAGGGCTGTGAGCACCATCAGCTGCAGCAGTCCTGTTCAGGGCTGTGTTCAGCGATGCCATTTTACAAGGAAAGCGAGCCAGCAAGGCTACATCAACTCACTGTGTGCACCAGCAGTGAAGGTCTGGGGTCAAGGGACACCTCGTCGCAGGCTCCCTACTCTTGTGATTGGAAAGGTTGAGGCTTTCTGAGCTCATGTTTACGTTCCTTACCTGCATCTTGGCCGTTTTTCCCCAGAGGACCCTGTTCCCCACCTCGCCGCAGCCTGCGGCCGAGCTTCGGGCACCATTTGCACCACCCCTCCGGTGCAGGCACCTTTCCCAGCGCTGGCACAAAGCCCTTTGAATTCACGTTTACCCATCCCAGCAAAGGAGCATGCTGCGTGGGACCGGTGAGTGCCCAACACCTGTGCTGGGAAAGATGGGGAGGGGGCAGCCGGCCTGGTCAGCAAAGCCAGGTTATATTTGAAAAAACCCAGAAACTTCAAAGCCCTGCACGCAAACTTCCTAGTGTGCTTCCCTAGGCAAAGCCTCCCTGTCCCCAAAACCTGCTGTAGGCAGCAACACCCTGACCCGTGGCACTGACCCACGTGAAATCTCCAGGGAGGGCTGAGCACCACAACGGGGTGTGATCGGCAAGCCCAAACCCAGTGCCTAGAAGCATGAGGGTGCTTTGCCCTGTTATGGGCATCCCAGGCAGACCAGCTCTTCTCCTTCTCTCCTGTCCAGGATGGCAGCTTTTACCTACCTCCACCTCTTCACCAAGGAAAACATTTTCCATGGAAGAAGTGCCTCCTTCAAGGGAGCTTGCTGGAAGTGGGCAGGACACCCACTCTCCCCAGGGGATTTAACAGCTGAGGGCTCTTGAGGCTGCTGTGAGGCAAAATTTTGGCCCTTATGGCTGCAGAGGCAGACTTCAGGCCAGGAGCTGAATCAAAACAAAAGTGGCATTCCCATCCCAAGAGTGAAAACAGGCTGGAGCTGGGTCAGTTTTAAGCACGATGGACTGAATGTAATTTTGACAAGTGACACACCACCACAGATGAAGGTGCTTCCCGTTCTCTCCCCTCCCCAGAAAGGTGCAGGCATCAAATGTGGATACAAACCCAAAGCCAGTCCATGTGGCACCAATGTGCTCAGGGCTGAGCTGATCTCCCCGGGCCAGCAGAGCCCAGAGCATCCCAGGGAGCAGGAGGACCTGTGCCCTGTGGCTGAACACCCGTCAGTCTACTTCTTACCAAAAAGCAATCCCTGAACCCATGGCAAGCACCTTTTAGTAGTCAGTTTGTACAGAAAGTCATGAGTGCTAGTGGAGGGCCTTAGAAACATAAATCTGCAAAACAACATCTAACTGAATGGTTTTTTAGATCTTAAACCCTGATTTTTTTCCCAGTCAGGAGGAAATTAGCTCATCCCGCCCCCAAGGCTAGTTTTCCAGGTCAGGTTGTAAGAAGCAGCTGTATCCCGAGTGTCCCTCTCCGCTTGTCTGACTGCTGCAGAGGTTTGGGGCTAAGGAGAGGAATAAGGGGGCTTCTGGCAGCAGGGCAGGGGACAGGGCCACTGGAGAAAACCCGTGCCATGCGGACACACCGAGCAGAGATTTAATTCATAGCGAGCAGAGGTGTAATATGGCAAACCCACACCACCAGAGGGAGAGCTGCTCGGCCTTTCTCCTCCGTAACAGCAATAATTCTGGATTTTTTTTCAGGGAACACAAACAACTGCCCAGCATCTGTGGAGGGCAGGGCATTTGGGGGCACGGGGAAAGCAGCACACGGAGGACGAACCATGAGAAGCTCATAGTTGTCCAAGGGCTTCAAAATTACACACACACAAAAAAAATCCTGTAACAGTTCTGGGATTTTGCAGAGTTGCCTCAGTCTTTTAAACAGCAGGCAGGGAGCGTTTTTAAGAGCAGGTTTAAGGATGCATCTGCAAGGAGTGGTCCAGCTGTGGCTGCTCCCACCAGGAGGGCAGGAATTGAATTAGATCAGCTTCACCCATTTTAAAACCAACTTTCACGCCAGCTGTCTAGAAAAGCCCAGAAGATCTTTGCTAGTATGGCCGCAGTGGTTTTCACTTACAGACGAATGCAAAGATCAGACCAGGACAATACGAGCATGGCACACTGAGAAGAGCCAAGCCTCATGCTAAGAGCAAATTCACCCCCACATCGCGGTCCCCCCATTGTCTCTCACAGCTCAGGTGCTGGGAGGCAGCTGCTCAGAGACCCACAGCCTCCCTCTTCTTCTGCCTCCTGATCAGCATCATCCTTCCCTCTGGTCGCCATGGCCCTGTGAAGCGAAGAGTTAATTTCCTCAGATCTGAGGGAATGGGAAGGGTTGACAATATTTGAATCAACAATTTATTAAAGTCACACATTTAGTTTGTGATTGTCAGGTAACCCTCCCCAAACACTGCGTATGACAGAGCACTGAGGACAGCTGAAAATGCAGTCCAGCCCACAAATTCCCTTGCTAAAGGAGAACTGCTCCCTAGTGTCCCCAAATACTCTCCCTGTTCCATTCAAAACACCCAAATTTTAACCACGCTTCCATCATCTCCTGCTTTCCCGGATATCTTGTACTTCAAACCACTGCAACACTTACAAGACGCCATTAGTAAAGAAGGAAAAATTACCTTTGTAATGAAAGAAAAATTCCCTGTCACTTTCCCTCCTTCCCAATTCATCACAGCCTTCCTGCCAGCTCCAATTCGAGTGTTATCACCCTCTTCATCTCAGCTCTTGATACTTTCAGCTCCCACCTTCCCAGGCCGCTCTTCACAATAAACCAATTTCAGCTTGAAACTTCCTCTAACCAGCAATCACCTCTGTCCTCCAAAGCCGTCACTTTTCTTTTTCCCCTTCCTCTCTGCACACAAATCCACCCTTCAAGTACATCTCGCTTTGTAACTTACCAAAATACCTCATTCAGGACAGAGACTGGGAAAATTTAAGGTGAGGACGATATGGAGCAACGAAATATGTAACTGTGCAGGGACCCAACACTAGAGTGTGCTGTGTGGAAAACAACCTTGCGCCGCAGATGATGGGCTGGATAACGCAGCAGGATGGATTTCTTTCCCTGGGCAATGTCAGAAATGCTGGAGAACTGGATGAGTAATTTCTTGGCTCCTGGAAACACATGAAGCTCCCTCAGATATCCTTGGTGAAGGCGCAGAGCTAAGCAGCAAATACCGAGTTTTGAAGCAAGCCGAAACCACATTCAGGGCAAGGAAATTAAAAAAGCAGAAGAAAAGCAGCAAGGGGAGAATGACGTCAGATATTCCTGTCTGGCTTGGTGGAGCATCAGAAGAGATTCACCAAGAGAGGATATAAGCCAAACCCGCTTTATTCTCATCCTGAATTTGTTTATTTGAAGCATCATGATAATTAGGGTTTGCATTTTGCCTGCAAGCCTGGCTGGGGCTGGAAAGACTGCAGAGAAATGCCCAGGACAAACAACAGCAACAAAACACTCTCAGTGACTTCCGAGTATCGGCTCCAATCCACTAAGACAAGCAAGCGTGGCACAGACCTTCAGTAACTCCACCCAAATCCCCAGGCAAGTCAGCACCCTAGCCAGAATCACAGCTCAAGGTGTTTCTACCTTTTGATTCTGCATTTGAGGGACAGGCTTAACTTACCTTAGAAAATAAAAAGCATTTCAAACAAATTCTGTGCTTTTTTAAAAAAAAAATCTTATTGTTTTTATTTTGACAAGAAGAATAAAATTTAGAAACATCTCAACATACAGAACTCAAAAAAAACTCATAAATCACCTAGTTAATTTACTAAAGAGGAAAAATACAGTATGCAAAAGACTCAAACATCCCGTAAGTTTATACAAAAGCCAGACAGTAATAAATTGCATTAAAAATATATCAAGCATTACCTGACCGATTCGACACTGGCATTCGCCCCATTATTAAAAGGCACAAAAGACCGAGCAATTAAAGTGTTCAGCGTCACATCCATTATTGTCAGTAAATTCATCAAGATTAGCATAAAAAATTTATTAAACTCATGTTTAATATTCACCACGCAGATCGGTAAGAAATCTTTTTTGGAAGGAGTAAGAAAGTAGAGTTGGAAAGGAGAAACATTTAAAGACGACATCCCAAGACACAAAGGCTCCTCCTAGAAATCTACCTTCAAATCTTCCCAGCATAGTTTTCCTGGCTACGTATCCCATGGTAATCAATCAAAAAAGATTTAATTAGCCACAAGCCCACCTTCCAGCAGCATTGCGATACCACAGCAGTGTAGCTGGCAGCACGGAGCCCTCCTGGGATGTCTTTGGGATCAGACACACTGAGAGCGACAAGGCTACAGAGGTATCGGCACTACCAACCCACCGCTGGTCTGCTGGCTGATTTGTTACACCTGTGGTCTGTAATGCCGGCACAAACCAGAACAGGTGGATTTGCCCTTTTTTTAAACTATATTTGAGGTTTCTGCAGTCACCCTGGGTAACACATGCAGCAGCCAGCTCCAGCAAACTCGGGGGCAGATCTCTGCTCTGATTCTTCAAAGAGTCTTTCACTCAGCTTGTGCTCGGTGATGATATCTTCCACCCGCGTTATGTACAGCAAGGACAACAGCACTCCCAGGAACTGTGAAAGGAAGGGGCATCTCCAGTCAGAAATCAAATACTGCTCATCTAGCGCTTCTTACAGCAGTTTTTACAAATTACGCATACATACGCTGGATATAGGGGCAGGTGTGTGGTATATACACAGACAGAAACTCACACTGTTGTTCTTTGTGTATAGGGGCATAAATGGATCATTTTTGTGACGAGCTAATACAGCAGAAGAATTACCACCCCTGTGCCTTGGAGGATTAGAAAGTCTCAGTGGACACAGCTACTGGGAAGATAAGACTAATAAAACACAAGCAAAAGCAAATTAACCCACCAAATCCTGCAATATATTACAGTAATACTAACAAATTTGCAGAAGGCCACTTCAGCTTATAAGTTACATTAAATTTAAATAAAAAATAATAATTAAATATAGTCAAATGGGATTTCACATAGTACCAACAAATCAGATACTCCCTTTAATGGATAACACGCTGGCCCCTTCTCACCTGGGGCAGCAGTATGCCAAGCAGCACGCCAGCCATGATGCTGTAGTTGTCCAAAAACCAGATGAGCACTGCATTCGTGCATCCGCGGACATAGATAACATGCTGAACGCTCAGGCGCTGCAAAATAACAAAGCAGACATTCAAACAGGCATATGAAACAGTAATACATGAAAATTCAAGCTTCATTAAGGCAAATGTGTTCCTCCTTCCCTTCTCTTTAAACCACTGAATTTGACACAAACCTCATCACTAATTCTTCCATCTGTTTTTAAGTTGTTCCACACCTGAACAAGTTATTTCACTTTTTTAAACCTTTTTTTGCAACTGCTTTTCTAAAGTAAATGCATCTGATTCTCATTTTAGACCACCCATAAAGCAGAGAAGTCTCTCATTAGCTTCTATCTCTGCTTCCAAGTTGAAAGTACAGCAGTGCAAAATTACAAATTGTGGACCAAGAGCTTTGCAATAGATCCTAAAAAGGGCAGGAACCAAGAGGGTTTCAGACTCGGTCCTGCAAGCCACGCTGCACCATGACCCCAGTCCCTAACTTAAAAAGCACTTGAGGCTGCAGAGGGTCCCAAGCAGCTGAATGGGATAATGTTAAGCATGTGCTAAAGTTCTTTGGGTGTTAGAGCCTGGCTGGAGGTTCAGGTGGACATAGTCTAGAACCATAAAGCTATCTAGAATTAGATGTAGAATGGTATCTTGAATAATAAAATTATCTAGAATGAGCTCTAGAATCTGATCTAGAACGTTATCTGGAACATTTACTTGAACATGATCTAGAACCATAAAGTGAGCTGGAATGTGATCTAGAACCACCCCCCACCCCCCCACCAAAACCCCAACTCCAGAGTTCATACCTGCACCAACTGCACCACCACCACCCCAGCTCTACAAACACCTGACTGGAAAGGACTCACTGCCTGTCAAAGGCCCTGAGAAGGGAAGGCCTTGGTATGGCTCAATCATCTTGGTTGGAAAAAGGCAATAGGCAAGAATCATATTCCTTGCTGATAAGAAGAAACCAAGAACACACCAAAGGCTCTACTCCCCTCACTAACCAAAGACAAACTTTTGCTTAACAAGGTTGGCACCCCCAGCTCCAAGGCACCAACAAGGTGTTCAAGAAACATGTAGATGTGGTGCTTCAGGACATGGTTTAGTGGGTTAGGTGGTGTTGGGTTGACAGTTGGACTTGATGATCTTTTCCAACCTTAATGATTCTATGATTCTAAAGATAACCGGTAATCCCAAAAACCAACAGACGCGGGCGTTGTGCACCAAGTGCCTCCAATGAGCTGTGGAGAGGGGCTTTCCCAGGACAACCTTCCTCCTCATGCCAGCACTCCAAAGCTCGGAGGGGAAAACTTGCAGCAGATCCAATTACTGATTCCCCTGCTTAATCACTCCGCAATTAGTGCCTCGAGCTGGCAGTCTCTACTCTGAAATCTCTGGGGCTACTCCCAGTGGGGAAGGCTGAAGAAAGAGGCGGCCACATCCCGCTCCTGGAGGGAGGAGAGGGAGGCCAGCACCACCGGGGCAGTCCCGCTGCTCTTCCAGGAATAATTATGTAACAGACTTAAAAATCAGATACCCACTACTGGGATATAAAATACTTATAAACAGCTAATTTGGCTTTACCAAAACTAATTTTACTCAGTAAGAAACTTTGGCTTTTAGGTATTAAAAGCATCCTCCATCTCAAGTCACCACTTAAAAGTATGGAAGCATCTGTCTTTGTATTAACTGTGCCATTAGTGTAAGGGGAGTGAGGTTTGGGAAGACGTGCTTCACGCATGTCAGATGAGGAATACTGGAAGATACAAGGACGGGAAGATACTACAATTAAACAAGATTTTTTTTAAATATATGAAAGTTATTCCCCATAAAATCATTCTAATTGTTGATTTAACCATCTGGTAGATTTAATCGTCTGGTAGATTTAAGTATGCAGAAGACTATTTTATAACTGATCAAAAAAATGCAGAGAAGCTCAACCTTTTGCCACGACAAGGTGGATGCTTGTTACATTACCTCTTTGTCGATGGTTTTGTACCCACACATAGTGTTGATAATGTCTGTCTGAAAAAAAAACCAAATATAAACTATAGCAGAAAAAAAAAAAACCACACAAAAAATTATTTTTACTCTTCTCCTGCTCACCCATATAAAAGCAACAACAGGGTTATTCACCAGTCCAACTTGGGTTTCTTCCAGCAACCCCAGGGTCACTGTGCTGCTGTATCCGCTGTCACATTTACAAAATGCTGGAGCCTGACAGACCAACACGTGGCCAACCCCCAAATATGTCACCACCAGGCACACAGTCACATAATTTCATTTTAAACACAGCATTTGCTAACAGACATTGCAATACATGGAAATGTATGCAAGGGAAATAAATGCATTAGAAACAGAGGTTTACAGGCATTTGGGGACTAATTTTTATCTGTTACACCAGTGTAAGTTTTTAGAGAATACTTTGATTTGAAAATAATCCTTCCAAGCCTCCTCAGCGTGAGCCCGGCTGGCCTCAGCAGAGGGCTTTTTAAGAGGATCAGGATCCAACCCCAAATATGAGCAGGAGTTTTCCATGACTACAAAGTGAGTGAGTAATCACAAACCATATCTGTCGTTTTCCAGGACAGAAACCAGCCTGTGTTTGGAAGCATTTGTCAAACACAGAAAATTTATGCATCTTCTGGTTGGGTTTGGTTTTTTGTTGTTGGTTTTGTCTTTTTTTTCCACAGCAGCTGGCCATACAGCCACGGTGTTAGTGTCATCTTGCCCAATACCCATCCGTGCTGCTTGGACTTCACAAGGCATCACTTTGATGGCATTCTGGGGCAGCAAAGCCACGAGCCCTAACATAGGGCAGCATCTTGCTGAACATCCTACCCTTAAATAAGAAGTTTGCTTGTTATTTCGGGGCTTCTCCCCACCTTTTGATTAACTTCCCTGAGCTAACGCTTTGCAGGCTACTTCTAGGCTGCAAGTAGTCTCATCCCCCCTCCCCGGTTGCCAAGGCAGCATACAGAGAGTATACTCCCTGTTTTCCTCAGGGAAGCTTGTATTTTAGCACTTTCCTGCCTGGCAGGTTGCATTTGAAATCCACGTGCCTGGATACCTGTGCCATGGCTGAAAAGGCACCTGGGCATGATTAGTCACTGATTATTGCAGTGCTTTGCCTTCACAGTGCTGCTGTACATCCACACACATCAACTAACCTTTTAAAATAAGAGAAATGAGAGCTACAGAAAAATAAGGGGTATTTTGAATGACCCTAGAAAGGCAGATTGCTCTTTACTAGCCATTCTGTCTTCCTTTACCTATCTTTTGCCATCAAATGAGAACCGAATCCTGAGCTCTTCTGCCCCGTGCAGCTGCGGATCAACAGATTTTATTTTCATATACACGACCTTCTGCTTCTCAAACACCCAAGACTTAAAGCATAACTGTTTAGCTTTGGCTTCTGAGAATAAATCAAAGCTCGGCGTGGATTTAAACAGACTCTTTCTTATACACAGAAGATGTGTAAGCATATGTAATAAACACCTTTATATTATACACACTTCTCAGCAACACCTCGCAGGATTACTGACACAATTATTGCATTTCTTTTCCCTTTTTTTTAATTAAACAGCCATGCTCCAGGCAGACACTGAAAGGGCAGCACATAACACAGGCACCAGTTGGCTATCCATCATGAGCTCTGCTGCATCTGCTCTTACACATACTCCATCTCTGTCTCATGTTCAGGCCAAAGACCAAAACCCAGCACGTCAGGGATTGCCCATACTGGTTTTAAGTTGAGGAACAGTTCTTTATCAAATTTGGCGTTACATCCATCCCTCAAAGGAAGAGTGATGAACCAAAACTGCTAAAATTTATATATATATATATGGAACTTAACTCCTGCTCCTAGTGCTGCCAGTACCAGTTAATACCAGTTCATTGTAGACTCACAAACTGGTCCAGACTCCAGCTGACAGGGTATCCTTCCAGAAAGAATTTTATGGGTGGTTTTCAAGGATGGGCTAGGGCAGACCAGCAGCTCCACTCTAGACCTGCGCCCACAAGGATGCACTGACCCTGAGGCCATTTGCCCACACTTTGGGATCTTTCTGGATGATGGGGTCACTCTGTTTGGTTTTTAGTTCACACAGCAGCTGGTGCACATCACTCCAACCCCCACCCATGGAAGCAATTGGTGCCCAGGCTTCCTGTCAAAGCTGGAGCAGCAAATCCTGGGGAAAACACCAGTAAAACTTAACTTTAAGCAGCCCTGGTCCAGGCAAGCCATGAGGTTAAAGGATCTCCCGAGACGCCTTCTGCATTTCTAGGACTGTGTAGCAGGACAGTAATATAGACCAGAGCCAACAAATTCATTATTTTCTCCTGTTCAAGCTATCAAGACCCACAGATCCACAGCTCCCATTTTCCGGAGAGACCCATTTTCCTTCGTTTCATCCCCCAGACTTTCTAAAGTAAGGAACCTTTTTAAGCGAACGCAGGTGACACGGCAGAGAGCAGTAATGCCGAGATGCCAGGACTTACCTTGTTTTTGACGCAGCAAGTGTAGGGCACCCCGCAGGCCAGCGGTCCCGGCGCCGCACAGTTGTGATACACGTTTTGGGACCAATCTCTGTAATCTTCCCCACCGCAGCACTTAAACTGGAAAAACGACACGAAAGGCAAAGGAAAAAAAATTGTATCTTAACAGAAACTCTTCTAACAAGTAGAAAACAATGTAAGAATAAAAAGATTTTAAGAGGACTGAGCTACCCAGCAATTATGTCATTTTATCTGCAAGGCACATACGAATGTATACGAAAGATACAACTGAAAAGAATTAAAGATATAGGTAGTGTTCCTCTGTCACTCACTGAGCTATTGCCCAGGGTGCCAGAACAAAGCACTCAGTGCTAAGTCCCACCTCCCATCGTTTCTAAATTGAAAAATTATCTTTTCAGATCTGGACATCATTAAGCAATGTTTTTACATTCACTCCATCTCGAGCTGTAATATAATTCTTCAATTTTTTTCAAGGATCGTGACTACATTTCTAAATGAGTCTAAAAGACAAAAGTGTTGCTATAAGGCATCAAAATAATCTCACCTAAACATTTTGGGTGTAATTTAGTAGAACTGAAATCTGGTAAACGAATACTGTAAGTTTACACTGACTTAACACAAATATTCACTTTATATTTTAAACTGAGGGACAAGGAGCAAATTATTTAATCACTGAAACATAAATTCGCTGTACTTATACATAATTATGGGCAGTGCATGGAAACTTTAAAGCATTATGAAGTCTAATGACAAAATTTCCTCAGAATGGTTGGCTTTTGACAGACTTTCCATGCTAACTTTGTTTTTCAAAGCAGGCTGCCATCTCCATAACGATGTCATAAAACATACATATCACTTCCTAAGTTAACTTTTTTTTTTTTTAAATCACTATTTGGCATGGTCCCTGACATCACATGGGCCCCTTACGTCACATCTCTGAACATTTTTTGCTTCTTCTATAGCATCTGAACTGCACAGCAAAACTCTTCAATAGTCCAATAAACATTTCAACACACCAGCCTCTAAAAAAGAAAAGGCTGTGAGTCAACTACACGTGCCATTAAGTAATGCCCAGATAGGCTCAACACAATTTCTGAATTTTAATTACAGGTATATATGCTTCCACAGGAATTCCCTTTGAATAATCACCTTGTTAAAGAGCTTGCTATGTGCCCTCGAGCGAAAATACAAGGGCCCAGGTTCAAACAGCCTAATTGCCACCTAATTTCTCTTTATTCGGTGCCTCCTGTTATGCCTTTGAATGCCTTGGACCAGCCAGAAGAAACGCTGAGCACAACAACTCAGGTGGAATTTAGGCTGAATTTGTCTGAATCCAGCTGTGGGGCCCCTATAAGCGTTCGCAGGATGTGGCCTTGAGCATCCACATCACACCTACCAAGGCAAACGATGATGCATGAGATCTCATCTCCCTCATCAATAAGAATTTGATTATCACCCCACTGGAAAAACTCAAAGCATAGCTGAGGACCCACCACAACTTGGCACTGGATTAGTCCCAGAAACAAACTAACAAACAAAACTCCAAACCTGCTTTTGAACAGAATCCATGATATTCTTGAAGTCTAAATCATCGTAGTAATTCTCAATTCCTCTTCTTATATTATCGTTCAAAAATTGGATTGTCTAGAAGGCAGGAGTAAAACAAGACTCACGGGTTACACACGCCAAAAAGAAGTTGAAAGAACAGCTTAAAGTGAAAAGTGTAATTGATGAGCACAAGAGGAAAGGTTGTTTCGGGGGTTTTTTTCTAAAGAAAAAACAAATACTGTTTAAAAATCAATCACAGCACAGTCCTGCAGGGACTGACCCTCCATTCTCTTTTACGGAAGCAGGCTCACTGATGGGTTTGTGCTGAGCAGTGCCAACAGTGCCACACCTCTCCAGCACGGTGCTGCTTCTCTGAGACTCTCCAAGCATCTCCCAGAGATCGTCCCATTGTCCCCTAGGCTGAGAACGGGAAGGCAGAATCCCTCCCACTGGGTGCTGGGGATGACCAGCATCTTCTGGGTGACAGAATGGCAGGTTTGGGTGGTGCTTCTTGGCACCGTGCTCTGCACCACTCCCTGGGTGAGAAGAGCTGACTGTCTCCCTGCTGACCATCTTCCATTAATTTTATTTTCAACATTTTATTTTCCAAGGAATCCATAATTGTCAGATAATGAGCTTTATTCCACGTTAAGCAGACAAAAAGTGGAAAATATCTCACATCTGTATGTTTTGCAGTCATGGTTTTGAGAAATATGACAATGGAGTGGTGGCAGATATAAAATGGTACTTCCTCAGCTTGGAATATTGGAAATTATATCAACAAAATGCTTATAAAGGTCAGAAGATGAGGGGGAAAAAAAAGCATTTAACATTCAGCATCATCATAGCATAGCAAAAATTGAGACTAAACCTAACCAGAACATAACAAGTTCCCTTTCAACCCAGATGCTAAAATCATCAAAGCTAAACCCTCGCACATCAGAAAGAAACCTGATATATGCCCACTCATTTTCTCAGTATTACAAACTGCAACACTTAAAAACAAAACAGAAGAAAAATTATTTTCACATGGGTGATTAGAAATAACACAGGATTTTTCAGTTAGGAAACTGGCCAAGAATGAACAGCAGAAAATACCGACTACTCTCACACTACCTGTATCACCTCACTTGGACTCGATAGATTTGAGAAGGTAACAGAGAAAGAAATGGAAAAAACCAATGAGACATGCAAAGCAATCAGCACCTAAAGGGAGCCTATTACCCTAAGCTTTTACTAAATACTTCCTTCTCCTCCCCTTACTAACCCCAACTTCTCCATTAACCTAACAAGACAAACAAACCTATATGTAACAGTAGGTGTGACTTCTTTTTGTGGAAATGAGATTGGTAGGATTGGGGTGGGGAAGGAAGAGGTCTTATTATTCAGCATCTCCTTTTAATGCTCATATTTTGCCAAATTATAAAAAAAAATTCAAAGCACAGAAATCTAGTACTTGCCACAGGGACCACATTTATGTTCTAAAACTTTTCTAGTGTAAAAAAAAATAGTCTGCTGCTTTCTGTTTAGAAAAATTAAGGGGTTTGTATAGTTACAGCATGTTTTATGTAGTTATAGCATGCTTGTAAACGATGGGGTCTCCTACAGAAATTATTTATGTTGCTTATGGATGTGGGCAGGGAAGAGATATCCCTTAGGTCCGGTAAAACATTCTGGCTGTTGAAAAATAACAGAGACTCCAAAACCAGCTGGAAACTTCCTGAATCAGCAGTTTGAGATGCAGAAGGCAAATGAGAAGAAAGCACTTTGTAATATATTAAGAGCTGGAAACTCGTTATGCCTGTATTGCCCTTTCTTAGCTAATGCATTCTCTCCAAATTCTTTAATGTGGAACTCATCTCCAGAACGGGTGGCCAATCCCACCCACCCCAGAACCTGAAACATCCTGACAAGTCTGGACTTGCGTTCAGACTTCCATCATTTAGTGCTCAGGTGACAATTTTAATGCCTTTTATTTGCTCAGTAGCATAGCCACAACTTCATGGATTGTGCGTAACATTCTTGGAGAGCAAAACCTAAACAGCAGCAGCTCACCTGGTTTCTGAAGATCAGGGCCACCACTCCACCTGTCAGCTCAATCAGCAAGCAGATACCAAGAATGTACATGAACTGCAAAAAACAATCGCAAGTGAGTCCTTAAAAAGAACAAACCCCACTTACTCTTTTCATTAGTGTCCTTAAGTCTGTAACACTCAGCTGCCAATATACTTGGCTTCCTGCATATCAGATGTTATTTTAAAGAAAGATAGAAAATTATGGTTTTGTTCTTCTAAAACTCTTCATGTCACGAGAAAGCCTTTTTCCCTCACTTGAGTCATTCTGGGTTTTGCCCAATTGGCAAACACATTATTTTTCTGCTCCGAATGGACTCAAAACCGATAGATGCATTTATCATGCCAAGATATTTTCTCCATAACAGCACCCCAGAGAAGCATATTAATGGCCTGCTACACCCACCATCATGTTTTTATGCTTCCTACAAAGACAGTATTTACCTGCTAGGTTTAATTTCTTGGGCAAAGCAGTGCTGTAAGATAATTCAAACCATCTTCTACTAAATTGCCAGTGTTAAATTAAAGCAACATTCTGGGCTGGGTACCTTTTAGTGTGTTGCTTCAGAAGAGGGAACGGAGTCGTACTGCATTACCGAGCCAGCTGAGAGCAGAGACTGCACAATGGGCACTAATAGGACTTACTACGCTCAGTGGTAAGAAAAATTACACCTGCTAGATCTCTAGTTATTTATTCATCTGTGCGTATATATACGTGCTCACAAATGCACTCACACACGACCGCAGCGTATGCATCTGTGACAACCTATCAAAGCACACGTAAAATATGAATAACATGAAGAAATCCATAGCAACACTACGAGATAACTGCAGCATGCCAGTAACTGAAATGTTTTTCTCATCCCAAAGCATTCTTTAGGCATAGAAGATGGCTGTTACGTGAATTTAGGTCTGCTTCTTAAGAGCAAACTTCATCAGGAAAGAAGTTTTAGGATCTCTCATCTGAAAATAATCTTTAATGCTACTGCCCCAAAAGCTGGTTTAATTTCTGTGCTCTCAATCCCGGTATGAGTGTCGCAAATTCACCAGAGAGATAGATTTCTCCTGATAAATCTGGAATCAGACATCAGGGGCTTTCTTTGTTTAAATACTCTACCGCGTTTGCCACCACAAAGGGAACAGAAAATGTCCTCAGCATCACATGAGGACACACCACCACACTGGGAGGGAAAGGAACCACCACTGCCTAAGGACAGGCTCCCAATGAAATTCCAGCCTCATTTCAAAATCCACAGTAGCCTCTTGCTTTGTCCTACATAACATACGGCGTATTTAGCATTTCTTTACATCAATCTGTTCCCCCAAGCAGGGCATGTCCCTCTGGTGTGACCAGACCAGAGAAAGGGCAGGCACTGCAGTGCCAGGCTAGCGTCAAACGGTATGTCAACAGCTGAGTTTGCACAAGATCCTGATAATAATTCACATTCCTGGGTGTTTTCCATAAAGCTCTTGACTACTGGGCAGCTGGGTTTCTCGGCGCCAGGCTCTGACCCTCGCCTTCTTGCTGGCAAGATGAAATACTGATGCTCCCTAATGGGGGGACATCCGCAGACCACGCCCAAGGGGACCACTGTCATTTCAGATTTAATTAAAATGAAGAAAACAACTTTATTAAAATAGTTTTTAATGCAGACCTAATTCTGGGTTTGAATTCAGGTCACACTGAAAAGCAAAAGCAATGAGCCTTAAAAATTAAGAATAAAAACCCCAACACTTACTGCTTGAAGAAGGCATAAATTGTCTCTTAAAGAAGCCAGGACACCCACAAAGGATACCAGGAACATTATAATGCCCAAAAGTATTAAAATAATTGCTGGGGCTAGAAAGGCACTTTCCAGAGTTTTGTACTTCTGTCTTTCAACTTCTGCATAAATCCCAATGGCGAGGACGAGGGCTCCGATCACCTGAAACAGAAAGAGAGAAGAGCACAGATGTTACTCCTTCTCTCAGTAAACACAGAGATGACATTTTGTGAGCACAAATGAACCCGTGACTACTCACTTCAGAATTAATTATAAACAATGAAAAGCTCAAAGCAGAAGTATGGATAAAAAAAAACCTCAAAGACTAAAGCAGAAAAATGATGAATTGGAAAAAAACTGAGATGTGTTCATGTCAAAAATATATTTAATAATGTTTTTAACATTCTGGAAGTTAAACAAATTGAAACGTACATCACTGGTTGAACTGTAATGTATTACTCATCTGAGATCACATATATTACATACACTAGCAAATGCCACGGCATTAATATTTCTCCTTTAAATGTCTGTCCATCCTTCCCTCTCTGTGTCTATGTATGTATGTGTATATATATGTATGTCCCTAACACAACACAATTTCTAAACCAGTCTGCAAACAACAGCTTATATGTCCCTATCAGCTCCTATTTAGGCTCAGTAACTCTGCCCAGGTGTATCCTATATCTCCACTCCTCCTGCCACTGGGGAAAATGCACTGGATTAAAAAAAAAAAAAGCAACCAAACAAAACAACAACAACAACAAAAACCACCCCAAAAACCTGCAAGTTTGAAATTACGCCGCTTTCTGGAGCACTACCAGATAAAGCTGACAAGTATAGCAAGAAGTGACGCATTTCATTTAACAAGGTAAAAATATTTCAACCAAAATAATTACTGCTAAGTCAAAATTGTTTGGTATTAAACCTACGGTGTGCTGCAAGTTGCTTTGTATTATGATGAACTCGAAAAAAAAAAAAAATAGCCCACAACTCTTAGTCATGAAAATTGCAGTGGAAAAACTTTACTGCTAGCCTCAACAGCCAGGCACATCCTCAGGGAAAAGCTCACATTCAAATCAATCATTCTGGCAATCTCATAAACAGCATTCCCTTTTTCTGACCTGACCTTGCCACAGGAACCCCAAGCCTGCTCGCTGCACACCAACAGCGAGGAAAGCACGTTTCTTACATATATGAAGCTTTTTGGTCCCACATGGTATATCCCAGACAAAGGTCTACACGGACACACAACGTAGTTAGTTGCAAGATCGTGAGCCCAATGGTTGAAATGTTTTTTTATTTATGGGATATCTTAAAATAAATGAAAACTGACTGGAAATTCTTTATTTCCTACAGGTAAGAATAAAAAACTCAAAGGACATTATATAAGGAATGCCACCAAGTTGTCATTTAAAAAAGAAAAATTTCAGAAGGGTACACCCATCATAATAAATATAGTGAAGCTATTTAAAAAGGAACTTAAAATTTTACATTACCAAAGTCAGAGTAACTCCCCCCACCTCTGACAAATTCAGAAATTATTACAGAAAGCAGAAGAGAAAACATAGTGGGGATAAATAACAGGTGCCCAAATTTACCATTTATCTGCTTCTACTGTAAAACTATAACCAGGGGTTTTTATTACTAAATGGTCAATTTGTAGTGTTAACTTCATTCTTTTAAAAATTCAGTGATTTGTGTAATAAATTATAAATTTTTTTCCAAGCAGAAGGCAACAAACAAATCAGTTTGAAATTTTTAAATACAGCTATAGCAATCAAGGAAAGAGTCTCAGAACCATACAAAACAATTACAGATTGTAAAACCGGTGACTATACATGTATATGTGATTCAGGAGTTTATTGTTATTATGATGATTTTTTTAAAAATTGTTAATAGCCCCAAACCTAAAAGCCTGATACCTCTGTGTCCAGGCTGCATTTATCCTGCTCAGAAAGCAGCAGATAACACAATTTAAATACCAAGTCTCCTGCAGACACTAAAGCACCACTAACAAGCGCAACACTTGCCTGGAAGATTCCTTGTTTAGAAAATTAAAAACCAACAACATTGGACATAAAACACAGGTATTAAAACTTGATGGGGATTATCTGAATTTCAGAAGTGTGTTGTTGCAAGACTAGAACACTTTACTGAAATGTCTTTTTCTTAGCCACAGTTTTCTCACCAAAATATTAAATTTAAGATTTTTTTTTGTTTTGTTTTAAAGATTCAGAGGTGCCTGGGAGTGCCCACTCCTCTGCTTTCTTCTAGAACCACACTGACCTGCTTGCTCTGGGAGGCTTCAAGATACCAGACATTAAAATTATGTCATTCCCCAAGACGAGGGCTACAAAATATCCCTGGAATGGAACTCCTAAGTTCTACAAACTGGGGACTGCAGAGGACACGTGCCACAGGGAGGCAGGAAGGCTCCACGCTGCGTTCAGCAGCATCAGTTTACAAATAAAAACCTCAGATTGACCTATGATATAGCAGACACACACACGTATTCCAAGTTTTATACGGATTTTGAAGCATAAAATACTATTACGGAGGGGAAAAACCCACCTAAGCACACAACTAAAATCCTCATTACTTACAAGCAGGATTTATGCTGTCATTATCTTCTAATTTTTTAAGCATTTAATGAAAATCTTTTAAACCTTTAATATGGTACAACCAACAGCAGCAATTATTTATGCCAAGCAGATGTGCTAACTTAGCCAGAACCCATGGTTCTTCTCTGGGACTGTGCTCTCCCCCCCGTCACCGGGGGTGGAAACGCCACTTTTCCGTAGGTAGCCCACAAAGACACATATGTACTGTTTACATCCTGCATCCTTCACAACAGCTCCCAATTTGGCAATTCCCGCGGTGTCCACAGGAAAAACTAACTGGCCTTGACTCGCATTAAATGAGCATCCACCAGCAAATACCAGGGACTTTTTCTGGGGCTTTTGCACGCACAGAAGTTGCTTTCCCAAGGGAAACAAAAAGCATTTATTTCTAGAGTAGAGGTTTTAACCCTGTATTTACAATACTTATTCTTAAACAAAGTCCCTGCTCAACAAAAGCACTTTCTTTTTAAAATGCTGGATATTGTTTCAGCCAAGCAACAGAAATTACATTACATATAATTCACCAGCAAAACAGTTGCCTGAAAAAATTACAGCCATGACTAGTTTTTAAAAAAGCCCCTGGTGACATGGGAAGACACAGCAGTGACAGGGCCTGTAGCAAACGTCCCCTCCGGCACTCCCAGCGATGCTTTCATTTCCTTTCTGCTTTTGGCTGAGGCTGAGGGTTCCTGGCGATTTTAAGCAATTGTGGGAAATTGAATCCGGGTGTTCATCACTCATAAATGTACCAGAGGAGCAGCGACAGCCGGGAGGAAACAGAATGGCCTTAGCATCCCATACGTCAAAGACCCAAAGAGCAGCAAAAGAACACAAATCACCCAAAATTTAAGCAAGCCAATACTCCACTACCAAACTTTACTCCCATTTGCACTAAATTTAAAAAAAAAAAAAAAAAAGTCAGGAAGATGAACACAGCTGAAAAAAAGGACTAGACCGCTGATATTTACAGCTGACGAGATCTGCTTCACTAAATCAGAATAAAGGAAAATGTCAAGAGAGAGGCCCATGCGCCCTACCTCACACAATACGGCGTGTGTTCGGCCCCGACACCAGGAGCACACTGCCCAGTGCCAGCCTTCCACAGAGCAAGTGCCATCAGCCCCCATCCTTTCCCTCCCCGCAGCCCCCAGCGTGCCCGCCTCCCCCTCTCCATTAGCAAACCATCTCCCCATCAGATCGAAGTGCTCAGTTATAAACTAGAGGAGAGCATTGAAAACCCAGAGCAAGCAACTGCAAAGAGTAAATAAAATCCTCAGGCTGCTTGAAAGAGGCTTTGTCTCCCACAGACGCTCAGAGAAACGTTTCACAAGGGCCTTTCTTCTGCTACCAGATTAATTTTTACACCCCACCAGCAACAGCTCTTGGTGCCAGTGGAAAACGCAGAGGAGACAACACACACGGTCCTTCATGAAGGACAGGCTGCAAAAAAAAGGGTTTGAAAAATAATGCAACAAACCTCCCTTTTCTGAAAATCAGACCTGTGGAATAGTGGCTGTGGAGGTACACTGGAGTCTAAAACCAAGGGTTTTCCTTGGTTGGTTTGTTTACTAAGAAAGTCAAAAGACATCCAGGATCTGAAAGAGTCTGAATTACACCAAAGCACGTTGCATTTCAATTTTTGTTCATCCTTGAATTATAGCTTTAATCAGACACCTACTATCAAACCCAGTGGATCTAAACCTCTTCTCCCACGCAACACACCAAAAGCTTTCTGCTCCCACCTTGTAAACTCTGCACCTACCAAGACAGAAACACAGACCAGCAAAACGAGAGCTTAAGCAGCTTTTAAACTGAAAGAGCCAGAAAAAAACTCCACCTAAGCATCTCATACATCAGCACAGCCTGGAGCCAGCACAGCTGGACAGCATCACCCCAGCATCCCAGAGCCTGAAAAAGCACTTTTTAAAATCACGGTCCTTACAATGAGCCCCAACAGCTCCTTCCAGCCCAGGGCTGCCTGGTCAGGGCGAGTTTGCCACCTTTGAGAAGTCAGTGGCAACAGTCTGGACCCCAAGGCTGGGACTTTGTCACTTTGAGGAGACAGCACGTGGGTTTTATCTAACACGGTGTAGAGGACAGTGAGTGTGGCACGATTTTGAGCTTTAAAGCTTTACAGTATTGTTTAGCCAAGGCTCAGAAAAGGAAATAGTCTACATGCTGCTGACTGACGTTGTAGGGCAAAGGCTTTATTTACCCAGGTCCCCTCTGGGAAGCAGCAGTTTTTTAATACACACATAAATGATTTTATCTGCCAAACTTTCAACCCTTACATGTCCCCAACCACAAAAACCAGTTTGTCACTCCCTAGGGAAGACCGGGGAGCTACACCCACAGACACAGGTGTGCCAGACACTGGCTTCACATCGGGAACATTAACAATTGCAAAACCCCACGGTGCCTGACACGGGAGAGAACCCGCTTCCCGTGGAGAAACA